ACAACGTACCAATGGTAATGACGCTGGCAGAAATGATCCAATCACACAGCTAGTGGAGCTCAGTGGTGCATCAAAGCTCTCCCCTTCAATGCACAGCTGCCTAGTTCCCGAACTAATTGATCACGCCATCACCTCCTATGTTTGGCTGCATGCCTCACATTCTCCCATTACCAGGTACTTGAAACTGCAGTGGCTGGCATTAATGTACCTGTGCTACAGGACTTACAATTAGGTATTTGAAACGACTGCGGTACAAAAAAACTAGTTGAAGCTGGGGAAGCAGCATCAGAGTCCCAAATCACAGTAGTGATTGATAAATGCTGTCAATGGCAATGCATTAAGTAGTAGCTGTCTTAAATTTAGAGAACCAATTTGCCCATCCAGTCAAGCGTCATTCCTGAAAATCCTAACAGCTCGCGTTTCTTCTATATTCAGTCCGTAATTTGTTGATGCATTTTCTAGTAGGTGTTGCGGTATTTTATGGGTTTCCACATCTTCCTTCAATACGCTCTCTTCAAGAAGTTCGATAAAATCACCAGTATTTGGTCGTCACCAGTCCTAATGCCAAACATCAGCAATACATGCACACAGAAGCTGTTGCCTGGCAAATCACAATTTGCCTGCCTTTGCCACAGTCAGACCACACACATAGTTCAGTGAAAACTATGAATTTTGTACCGAAAAGCGACATTCTCTGCTGAAAAGAGGAGAAATGTTCGGCTTTGGATATTTTGTGGTTATCGTGTGTCAAGGAAAACAAACACTGCGATAAAAAACCGGAACAAGCTATTCAAACATGATTGTATGCGACCTTCCAAAATGAAACAAGTCGAACTACGTCGGCCAGTGTTTAACAAGACGAAAATATTCATAGGGTGAATACGACGGGCGCCGGGTGACGGTTAGTGACCAAAAGGCCTCTGGTGCAACTGGTTTGGGAATGTCCATGATGCCAGCGTGATATTAAACTGCAAATAAACGGTTTTGTTTGTGCAAGCAAAGATTGCAAAGGCCAATGACAACTGTACCTGGAGTGCTTTCAATTAGACGCCTGAACCTCTGGTGGCAATGGAAGTGTACAGATGACGCTCAAGGTGATTCTCGAGTCAGCACTGTGGTTTGGAACGAGCAACTGTTCCATAGTGGAGATGACAAATCCCATGTGAAAATTTGGCGATACGTGAGATCTGCCTGCTCAATCCTAGAGATTTTGATGGCTTTAACTCACGTTACTGACTTGAAAAACGTCTTGTGCGTCATAGGTCCACTACCCTTCCGTGGTTATGGGAATTTCAGACGTCATCTCTCAAGTACTGCAATAGAGATATCATCCGTTTTCGTAACCTTCGCCTGTGTAAACAAAAATTGTTTATTCGCGGTTAACTACCGTGTTGATCTTATAGACATTCGCGAAACACTTGCGTCACACAGATTTAAACCACTGGTTAACAAGTCATCATTTGGGGTGTCATATTCACGCTGTGGATATCTTCGTCTTATCGGGCTTTGGCTGACCTACTTTGACTCATCTTTTCATATTGAAGTCTTATAAAATCATAATGTTTGCTTACTTTTATCGCTATTTGCATATTTCAGTCTTAAAGAATTTTAGAAAAAGTCCCACAGACGTTTCTTTGCTCTGCAAAGTCGCCTTGGTTCAAAACTTTTCCGCTGTGCAAAGCAGGTGCGTCGTTGCATCGGGAAAAGGTTGCATGTCATCCCATCATATCCAGTGATCGTACAACATTGTGGGCTTGCCGAGAGGACAGAAAATTGAAGATAATAACTTCTTGAATTAATCTTGAGGAGACGAGTTGAGGATGGCAGTGTTCAACGCCTCCTTATTTCAAATTACCGTCAATTACCTAGAATCAGAAAAAGATATAAACAGTCCCTTGTTGGCAGTTGAAGTATATACATGATTTTGGGTCCTCAAGTTGGAGGTATGAGCACGATCCTATCCTTAGCCCCATAACGGTCACCTCTTAGCGCCCATATACTCGCATATTTTCTCGCAGAACGGCGAGCTTAGTTTTTAAAAATTACTCCGAAAAAGCTTGTTAAAACGTGAACACTACCACCAATACCTAATATTCTCCTCCTTCAGACGGCCCATGTTTCTAACTCCATGTAGTATGTGGTGGCAGCACACATCATAGTCACTCAACTGAACACTACACGCACACACGGCCTATTCAGTATGCTGATTTGAATTAGATGTAAATACTGAATTCTAGGTTATCAATGTCTACATCAAAAGTAAGTCGGTGGTGACCAATCAGGATGCATACTCCAGCTCACCGGAGTGATGTGCTTTTTCCCACCCGCACATTACTTCTATTTTGGTAAAGTACTTCTCAGTTCCAAAGCTTCTTTGGTGAAAAAATCAGCGATTCATGAAGAGGTGCAGTGATAGTCCACTTTTGCCTACTGTGGTTATGAAATCAAATGTAACTCAAACGTCTTTTCCCACGTTCGTCTGGAATCAATACAAGTAATTTTTATGTGTAAAGTCCTTCGACCCATTATTTTCCGTTAACGTGAAAAAGTATCGTGAAATGTTCTAATAGGTATAGAAACTTGCAGTAGTCTGGATAAGCAGGGAAGCGTGGGTAATCCTACAATTCATGAATGTTAAATTCGAGTACTTCGACAGAATTTTCAGACCTTCCCAATAGAACCCTTTTAGTTAGCCACCCAAATAAAAATTGAATGAGCATTCGGAAAATGTAAAAGAAAAGTGAATATGGATGCATCTGCTTCCCAGTTAAGTAGTAGGGAACAATTGTTGAAAATATACAGACTGCTTACTGCGCTTTTCGTCCTGTTCGGATCTCATAACGTAGAGTCAACTGGTTAATCAGTGAGATGAACAGCAAGTTAGTCGACTGTTTATATTTAAAATTGTGTGCACGATAGTATTACTGGCGCAGTAGATTGAATGGTTAGCATCATAATACCACCTTTTCTCCCTAGTGTTTTCCAAACAGGCTGACAAGAGGCTTCTTTGCCAAGATATTCAATGAAGTATGGTTTATTTCGAATTCATATAGCATGGGATGATCGCTAGAGATCCACGCACGACCAACGACAGATTTCACCCTTTTTGAGCACTCTTCTGGAGAATTCGTCTGTGTCCTCTACTCATTTTTTTCACAACAGAGGTGTTCAATGATCCAGTTCTATATGACCAAACACAAAGCGTGAAGGTTTCTTTGATTTGCAAATAGGAGCGAAAGCGGTGCATAACCTTTCAAGTGGAGAAGCGTGTATGTAGGTAGTGATCCACAAACTAACGGTGTAAGCATTTGAAAACCGGCAAAAATGGTCAATCTCCAACCGTCTACATTAACATGGACTCATTGAAATGGTAGTAAAACATGTTGCGCATGCCTAAATTATCTACATAAGTCACTGGAAGTCAAAAGTTAACTCAGTGTGAATTTAGAGAATTCAAAGAAAGTTTGGCTTAACATCGACATGGTGGAAATTGCTTACTTTGTCAAGGATCACTTTGTAATGCCACAATAATTATTTCCCACTCTGTTATATGGACGTAATCCTCTGTTTTGAGTTGAGTATATTTAAGCCAGTAGACCTTGTCTGCATAATTCTTTAAGAGGAAAATAAGAATCAAGCACACTGGGTCCACACAGATATATGGCGGTGCGTCGCATGGATTCACGAATAGATTGTCAAACCTGAAGGTCCCTCCTTCATGTGAAAAGAATTAAAATCAATTTACGCATTAAGCAATATGAAGGTAAGAGCAAATTGCACTGTTCAGCCAATGGAGGCCGAGCCAGGGCTGACACTGATTTCCTTGAGATGCGCGCTAAACTAAGGAGTCCTAATTAGGATGAAATAGCTGCAGAGCACCTCTCGGAAGAGATCAGCCTCGCTGAGGGGGTTAATAAGTAATTTAGTGCAAAGTCTCTTCGACCGAGGCGGGTAAGTTTCGCAACTAAGTATTCTTCACTTTTTACAGCGGATACCAGTATTCGAGTATACCGCCCTGAACGAGCTCGGATATTACTTCTCCGGAAAGACTACACTCTGCAAAAAGGACGACGTCGATTCCAGCTCCTGTGCCACTGGTAAACAGAATTCTTAACGAAATTTCCTTGAAGTGAACTGCTATTTGGAAAAATGTCCAATAGTTCACCACGTCTCCCATATACCGTTTGCTTTTTCTGACGAGCACCTTTCGTTCGGTTCGATTCATAATTGTCAACGAAAAAATAAGAGAATTAAAGATCTGCGGCTGGCACGAGCACGGTTACTGGTATGGAGACATACATATTTGATTCAGAGGAAATCATATTCCTACGTCTCCTTCCAACATCGTTGCATCACGTCATGCGGGTACTCTCCGTTCATGCAAGGGCACTTTGTAGTGACAATTACGGAGATGATCCCAAGTTTCTCTATCTGTACCAACTCACATACAATCGAGATTTTCACGAAATTTAGTGAAACTGATTTGTTACTGTACCCCGAGGCGTCGTCGACTACGATTATATCAAACTTTACCGGTGCTTTGTATTTGACATTAGCTCTTCAATCTGGTCCGACACCCAAAGTCTATTGCTCAATAACATACAAGGTGAAATTATCAGCCAGGACTGTTGATTTATCCATCCGATATCTGTCGTGTCGAAAGCGAACTAAGCTTACCGTGTTTATGTGGCTAGGTAAAATCATCTACTAAACTCCAATCAGTACTTGTTAAAAAGAGGTGATTTGGTAGCTGGTGTAGCTTACTAATGATAGACTTCCTCGTCAGGTAGACTACGCAAGAGCTATTGAAGATGGCCCACGTCTGCAGCAATTCCGGGTTCCTTTAAAGCTGTACCTTTAGGGAAACGTTCACATTCAAATTCACACTCTAACCTTCTTGATCACACTCATAAAGCACATATTTCAAAGATGTAAATTTTTCACCTGACGCGATCGCCCCTGAACTAGGAAAAATAAATTGGAATTCAGTAATTACAATTATAGTCTACAAACGTTTGTAAATGAGGAAGAACTATCGTCGGTTTGAGAATCTGGTGAATAAAATTCAGTTAATGGGAGGCAAGAATCCGTGATCAGTGGGCTGCTGTGGAAAACTGAATAAGATTGGGCAGAAAGAGGGGGCTTATGTAAATGAATTGTACTCGGTTGTTCGCTGCATGAATTCATAGTCATGTAAGCAGAGTCCGGCACGCCACTACCTAAGTAAGCATCACAACGCAACTTTGCATCTTTCGACTTGGAGTTGTAGTTAGAGAGCATCCTTAACGTGGGAAGTTGTAAATCGTTTTGATAATCTGTACCAGCGGTGGTCTCAGTATTGGTGGTTAGGACGCTCACCTGCCGTCCTGCGCGTTTGCAGCACCAAACAATGAAGATCAGCAAGGCGACAGAGCTGGTGAGGAGAATGCAGGCACATAGTGTGACAAATAGAAATTTTGAATGTCGGTATACAGAGAACAGCGTAAATGCTGATCCGGTTTCTGACCATGTGGATTGTGGACGGCTGGAATCCAGTACGTGGATGAACTTGCTTGGACTAACCATGGATTGACCTGTCGTTTTGACAAGAACCACACGGATCTCGTACTTCTGATCTGCATGAACACAATGGGGAAGGGACAATATTTATGGCATACACGAATTTGAAAATACTTGAGGCTGACTGTACCTTTTTCCATCAGGAATGGCCACCGTCAAACCAGAAAACCTTCCAGAACGTCTAGATATTTTGGTCATCTAAAGGCTGTTTACTAATTAAGCTCAGTTTTGAATAATTCACTTAGATGCTCATTCTACAGTGGATTATTTGTTTTGGGTTGGTTTTTCATTACTTGGTTGCGCCATTATGTGCTAATATCATTCGCTACTATGAGACAATGGTGGCATTTAGCTGCTTTTCACTGGAAACGACGTTGAATGAAAGACTAGATTCCCACTATCCCACTAAGCTTTGGAGCAGAAGGTTTGTCCAGTTTAATTTCACCGTGAATATTATTGTGTAGCGCTTGTTATAGAAATTTTGTTCGACGGAACCCGAAAACGTTTTACTGATTTCTGTATAAAAAATCAGTATTGTTACCCTGTGAAATTACTGTAAGTTATAAAAGGCAGGGCTGTTCTATAGGCAATCATAATTCGCACGCCCACACCAAACAATGATCTCACAAATGTTTATCTCCGTACTCGACCATCAGGTGCACTCACAACTATACTACCACTGTTCATATATTTCGCAAGTGTTTCCGCTAAGATAAATATGGGCGCAGCTTTTGTTATAAAATATTAGGAAGACTCTGCGTCGGTTGTGTGCTTTTATTAAATACAATGATGTTTTATCTTCGTTAGCCCTGACTGCAAAGGAAGTTAATTCCTGAACTGACATAACACATATTATGGAGCGCAACTGCATGATTATTCAGTAATGGCTGCATGGAATCTGTATGCATGCCAAGCCGAACGGACATCACACTTAAACGTGTTGGACTGTTTTGCTCTAACACTCTTCTACAGTTTGATTCTGACAGACTGATTCGTACCTCATCAAAACCTCCTGTTTTTCCGCGATTCATAAGAACTGGTCAGTGGGTGCGTGCTCCAGAGTTACGGGCTTCATATTTTTTATTCAGGTTTGGCGTGGCACATTCTGCACTCGTCTGCTAGCCGGCCATATTAATGTAGTGAGGCTGGTCGACGTCCATTCACTAGTTGTAAACGCTCGGCAAATTTCCGAAAAAAATTGTTTGGTATTCACTGGTTCCCTGGTGAAACTTTCTGCTGAAATTTTAACGGACCTCCTGTAAACTCAAACATAAAGCTCTTTGTTTTGGCAGTATTTAGGCTTTTTGAGCTACGCACTAACGAAACACGTGAACGCTTGACTTTCATTATGTGGCAAGTAGCATTAACTCTAGCCAAGACGAAATAACCTGTGCTACAGATGATGACATAAATTTTTGTGTTCCCTAGCCCTTAAGTCTCAAGGATTCAGAAAGACCACTACTCCGTTATGCTTTTGTGCTCAGAATGAATGTTTGGTAAACTACCTAAACACGAGTATTTTTTGTTTCTTTTTGTTATGTCGCATGTATTTTTTCAGGCACACGTTGTTGTAGAAAAGTTTGGGCAATCAACGAGCCAAATCAAAACATGTACCCGAACCGACCGTTCTAGCTACAACTGTATGAGTCTCACGTCTAACTTTGCAGTCTCCATCTTTGAGACTTAAGCGACAAGTTCGGAGCCATCGAGCGGATGTTCGACCACGCACTAACCATGTCTTCAAAGTACATCAAGCCCTTCGGCAGTGCTAGACACACCACCGACCAGAAGTTTCAACCGTGCTTCAGCAGCGCCGGACACACCACCGACCAGAAGTTTCAACCGTCCCTAAATTTAAACGAGACTTGACTTCTCCGGAAAAGTTTGCTTGGCAAGCAGTGGTTGCCGACCGGAGAGGATTGTACAAGGCAGCTCACCGGCCCACAATTTTTTGACAGTTGCATAAACCACAATTTTGCTGCAGCATATTAAACATTTGAAACCCATGGAATTTTGTGAGATGCACATTGCTGGTGATTCCCAACAAGGACGAAGCAGTCATATAGTGTTCCGCAGCTTTTCGCCATGGACTGGCTTCACCTTCAGGAAAAACTTCATTGAAAATTTCCAAATTTTGATAACATGCCAATAAACCTCAGTGACCAACGTGGTTCATATTGCATAAACCAGTTGAACACAGCGAGCACCCAGCACCGAAGCCGAATAAAAACGATCATAAAACAGCTCTTGGTTCATATTGCATAAACCAGATGAACACACAGCGAGCTACTGGAACCGGAGCCGAATAAAAACGATCATAAAACAGCTCAACGACTACTTTAACTCCAACCAGATTTCATATGTGTGTAAATAACATTGCGCCTGCGCCAAAGTAACTGTGTTGAGAGGCTTCAGGTAGTTTTTTTAATGCAAAGTAGTGTTGATCGTCCTTCCATATGCATTGCGCCTGTCCACCGCTGGTCACTTCATAATAACCAACACGTAGATCGGATATCAAGTATAACATCACGATTCAGTTCACTGTGCTAAAAAAGGTCCAATCTATGCTCCAGCTTCACGTGCATATCCGAACATACCGAGGTTATCTGTACTCATCCAACCTAACCCGATTCCACATGTCCATCGTTTGCAATTTTGACGATTGTTTTACATTCTCTTGTTATTAATGAACACATCCCAAATTGGGTAGCCATAATGTAAGATTACATTTCTAAATTCCCACCGTGCTCCTTTTCCAAACCATTTATTGGGAACAATAAACATGGACCGAACAGGCTTCCTGGATGTAGCACAACCACTACTACCTGGAAAGTTACTAAAAGTCCTAGATTTGGGATACAAAATCTGGTCGTGTCCAGCCCACTGGAGTTTTCAAATATTTGATCACTAATTCCTTCCCAGCATTACAAGAGACACCTGATTTCATTGTACCTGCAACGAAGTAATGCGTGAGTGGTGACTAGAAAAACAGGTCTGTTACCAGATCACCGTTAGCATGTTGAGGTGGTGCCCTTTTTCAACTACCTTCGACCCAAGAAAATGATGTTTTCTTATCCAAACGATTGTAGGTCAAAGTCTGACTATGACGTGGCATCTTGGATTAAAATCAGCTACAGCTGACCGTAATGCTGCAAAATCATGCCGTCTTAAGATTGGTGGGCACGTCATCCTTAATAGAAGCTTTTGAAGGAAGCAGAATGCTGTCGATTTCACTAAAATTTATGCTGCAAATTCACAAACCATCCACCTGGCCATGGTTTGCCTGTCGCTAAACATGTGGCTTGTTAGGATAAGATTCGTTAAGTTTGACTCCGCTGACGGTTCCTGATTCTAACATTATGTTTAGTTGTGGTTGTTTCAACAGCTTTAACTAGTTTGGACAAACTGGCATACAACTACTTGGAAGAAGCTGAATAATCTTTCAAGATTTATTTCCTGTTCTATCGAAGTGATGGAGTCTTCCACCAACCGTGTGTTTTACTCGGACAAACAGCTGCACGCGACCTGTAAAATATACTCAAATGCAAATGAGAAACTTATGTATTTTTTATCTACCCTACTCTACAGCAAAGGCACAATTGTTGATATGCCTGTTAAATATACTTCAGTATCGTAAACGTGGGATGACCTTGTCTAGCTCGTTTCATTCAAGCACATCATAGGAAAAAAAGGTTCGCTAGGAGTTTGTTATGTCACTCATCAACACCAAGTCGACGGTTTGTACTGCATTCTCCAAACTATATAACGGATAATGGGCCACGTTTTCAAGTCACCATCAAACCCGGTCATCCGAAGTTATCAGAACTCACTCTTGAACATCGCCACTTGTACTGGATTCTCCAAAGTGTATAACGGATAATGGGCTACGTTTTCAAGTCACCATCGAACCTGGTCATCCGAAGTTATCAGAACTCACTTTTGAACATCGCCAAACGCCGATTTGATCCATCTGTGTTTGCGTAATATATGACCTGTTTACTCGCTCATGACTCTGGTAAACAAAGATGGCCTCATATTTTTCAAATTCAATGACGTCGGATCACCTGTTAGATGCAACTTGTCCTAGATGTCGATTATGAAATCTGTTTACGTATTTTGAAATACAATTAATCTGGTTACGCACAGCCTTCAGAAAAATTTACTGTGTATTATTTAAAAGGTTCAAGGAGAAATCCTCGTCTTCCTCGACCACGCGCATAGAAGGACTAACAGGAAATATTCAGTAAAATCTTGAACTAAGTGAACTACAGTGCAATGTTCCAGTAGCTTGTTCATGCTTTTATACGTACGCAGTTCGTTCACTTACATACGGTACAGATAACTCGGACGGTAGCCAACTTTTAATTGTCAAAATAACTCAGTAATCATAGCAGGGGAAAAAGGTGGTCATGACCGCTAATAACCACCTGGCGACCTCAGTAATAGGATTCATGCGCCCACATAAGTAAGCTAGGTTGTTGTTTGAATCAATGAAGCAGGTTGTACAGTGTTTGCGCTTTCTCAAAACAATGAAAGTTATCGAGAGTTTTGTGAAGTCAATTCCTTAAACGCCTAGCCATATGTCAAGCGTATGAACTCTGACTGTGCTTGAGTAATTATCGGCAGTATGAAAAAGGGCTATTTTGTGAGCAAATGACACAATAGTGATGAAGGCTAATCAGCAACGAGAGTGAAACCTCAAACGTTCTGACTGGGTTTGTTTTGGTTACATACCGTTCAGTAAGTTACTCAAAATGATCCATGGCCTTCTAAATTCCCTCTGAGTTTCCTCCCAAATTTTTTGTCCCGCCTTTCGAAATTGGGCATAAAACATGTCCGTATTTCGTTGAGCCGAGATTCCGCTTTGGACTTTGTAGAAATTTGTTGGAATTTGATCATGAAGCCATCGATCTGGGGAACTGGTACCGGTGCCAACAACAGTTTCCTGTAGTGTTATAAGACCCTGATTATCATCGGGTTTGCTGCTCACGCTGAGTGCAAGTTGACTTCGCGATTCCATTGGCTTCCGCAGTAGATGTGCGTTCACACTGATGTTCACAGTGAGAGCTTTCCCGGAAATAAGACTGATCTGAAAGTACGATGTATTGTCATCTGGAAAGAAAAAATACAGGACAGTGTGAATGAGCAAAACGGAAAAGTTAACTAAAAGTGCTTTTGTGAACACTTAATTTCAATGTTTATAGCAAGTATTATAAGCAGTAGGCAGCCTAAAGTGAAAGACTGTTTAGGAACCAAGGCAAAAATCACAGGAGTGAAAATAAACTATATGCTTTTTCGAGCTAGAACAATATTCCTGATAAATCATTGTAGGGTTACAATCTTGGATTTGACAATTTTGACTGGGGTGTACATTCTCCTTCTGCTTTAAAGTGAAGTAAACTAATGTGTAGACACATAACCCAGACATAGTGAATCCATCATATACGGCTTCGAGGTCTAACTTGTCGCATATTTGGTTCACTGCCCCATATGGTTTAACTGCTTTGCGTTTGGCTGTGATCAAAGGGCACTATACATAAGACATTAAGATATGGATGAAAATCGGCACTCAACGTTCTGTTTAATAAATCTAATCATGAACTAATCGTTTTCTAAGGTAAGCTTTACATCTGGCACAAAAATATATATGACGCAAGGTAACTGGTTAACAAACGTCAGCCAACATGTATCGAAATGAATGTTTTCACAGTAAGTAAACAAATGAAGCGGACACGAGTGGACTGATGACAAATAAACGAAAATGTTAGATTGGTTTGACGCTCACTCCGTTTGGGCTGTTGATCTCCAGCATAATCATCACTTTGTTATTACCTATGAAAGTGCATGCCGGCGCTACTCCTGTCAAATATCTATGTATTCATACATTTTTTATTAGCTTGACGTTTTTAAAAATCACTGAATCCGATAACACATTAATTCACCAAGAGTATGACATAAAAAGTAAACAGTAATACTTAGCAACGAGTACGGTTAAATAATTAGAGAGCCGTATGGATATTTATGCCTAATCAAATCTAGAGAGGATTAACCTGCGTCATTCCAAACTCTATTGGTCTCAGACGTGAAATCGCTACTGACGTGTAGAATTAGATGAACTAGATGATGAGCAAAACGACTCCAAACCAATCGCTGCATTTGGTACATCACATCAGACCTTCCAGTATTCACTCTCCACAGGAACAGAAATTAAAATCTGAACCGATAGAGGAGCAGTACTGTACATTCAGTAAGTGAAATATGAGTAAACGAAAGGAAAAAGAACAACTCCAAAATAAGGGGGAAACATACACCGTTGCATGGAGATGTCTGGAAATTATAGATTGTTAACATAGCTTTAAGTCACTGCTTAAAGGGCTACCAAAATTTCAAGAATATTCAGGGTTTGAACTAATAGACAGGGATTGAGTTCTTGAATATCTGGGTGCTTTAGCAGTGCATAAGGTTTTCGTCTTTATCTATGTGCACATAACACAAACAACCACAAACTATTATCGGCACCGAAGTGTCTGCACGCAACCTGGTCAGCTAACAGTGCACGCAACATAACTAACACTCTTTTGACATATCCTAGACTGTTAATACTAGCGAATCTGCTAGTAACATGTCCTGGAGACCGCAAAGTTGAACACGACTTGATGTGTGGTGACCGGCTATTAGGTCGTTGCAAAGTTGTAAAGTGGTTATCAACGGGAAAGGTGGGGAAAACTTCAATGCACACAAATGATGATGATGAAATCACATAGAAAGTGGAAATTTTGTAGCTAAATAGCCTCTGAGTTGTTCGCGCATAAAAAATTAGCGAGAGATGGGCAATATACAGTATGCTTCAAAGTTTTCAATTCGAGCCTAGACATTCTTATCCCATGGAATAACGGTAGATGAAGTGCAGTGCTGATGTTCACTGCCGGATTCATTGGCACATTTGGAGCGGCTGTGGTTCGGAGGTAAAAGCATATAACTCTCAGACGAGAAGAGAAGAATTGCGCTCTGGACAACGCCTTAGAGAATCGTCTGAGACCACATGATTCAAGCGTATGGCTATTGTATGCCGACTTCGGTCACCCGTTAATAGTCCAAAGCCTCAAGCACATCAATACCGGAGTGAGGTTAGTTTTCACTTTGTGATGCAAAACTACATCCTGGGAGACATTTGGCATGTCACGAGCTGATGCAATCGGGCCTGTTGGGTGCCAAAATGATCACCATATATATGGATCCTGTTACCTAGCTTGATTAATGGTGAATAAGACCTTGAACAGTCAATGGTAAGGTAGCTCCGGTCCATAGTATACATAACTAGAAACTAAAGGAGCGAGTCCTCAGAAGAGAGAAGTTATTTGTTTGTTGGGGGCACAAACGCGTTTTCACAAACGTGGCATAGATACTGCCTTCTAAATCAACAACGTTACAGTCATTAAATGAAAATAATTATTTTATTCTTCCGAGCCCGAGAAGGAAAAATTTCAGCTCGGGCTCTAAATTTCCGATAAATAGTACCAGATCAGATATTTTGGCGTAAGATTCAGTGGGGTCGACGGCACTCTACATTGAATTGCCAGTACTGGTCCAAGTGCTTTCTCAGCCCTTCGATATATCAGGAATTGTTGTGAAGCGTACATTCTCTCGTGGGAATGAACACCTACAAAATTAGGTGAAGAAATTTCGGTCGAACATTCAAAAATCGTACCTTTGATCATCCGAGCCGTATGGAATTTGACACTTTTAGGATGGCCACGGCCTGATCGAGTTCGGGGCCAGAGCTGGACCATATAGCATGAATCCATATCGAGTTCCGATATTCGAGTGGCCAACTGTGACGGATCCTCGATGGTGATATGTTTAACGAGTTTCTCCTTTGGCCCAGAACTTGACATTTCAGAGGCAACTCTGTTGGAGGTTTGGTTATCTATAACTGTCGGGTAGATATCAATATAAATGCTTGCGTGAGAATATTTGCCTCATTTGTATAGTATATGGGCACTAATAAGCAACGTTGGACGAGTTGACACAAGTTTCTTCATCGATTCACTAATAACTAAATCCGTAATCGATAAAAGTAAATTGGAAACCGCCGAGTGCATTACGTTTCCAGACAATGAATACTTTTAAACGTATTGAGCCAAGTTTTTGTAAGGATACATAGGAACCAAAAATACATTAACGCAAGCACATGCATCACATTGTTTAAAAAAAGCAGTTTAATCACTTGCTATTGTGAAATTCAAACACATCATGCAACTTGTGTTAATGTAAACTGTCGGTCGAATGCCTCTTAAACGTGCACCTTGTAAGTGCACTCACCCAGATTCAGACTTTTGCATACATGTAGCAGAAAACTTGTAGAAGCATAACACTTGTCCGCTCTTACTCAACTGTTTTTAGTCTACTAAACTGCAAACAGATTCGTCGCAACTGAATGGGTTCTGGAAATTCAATACGACCGCTTGTACATCGGTCTCTCACCTGCGGCTATTTCGCAAACCCATACAACTGTATTCAAGCTGTCTGTCGTATCTAATATCCATTGATTAAAGACACGGAAAGCCAAAAATGAGTGCGAGTAATGTTTTTGAAGCAATATGACAGTCACTTCTTAAACATACCAAACTGTTGAATAGAAATGTGATCGCTTCACTTCATGCACCGCTCCTGAGAATCTCACCTTCAAGTTCTTTCAAAATTACAGACCCGGAGGACGATCGCTCCAATTATGTATCAGTGAGCAAGAATCGCAGTTTCCGTGTTAGAATGTCCTCGAGATTTCAGTGTTTTATCGACAAAATTATTATCATAATAGGAACCAAAATGTGATTCAAGCCAAGGCCAATTCAGGGGAAGTATCATATTGGTTTATTGTATTCTCCGTACTATGGAACTTGTTTGACTGATGTCAATAAAAATATTTCCTAGGCTTGTTCGGTGATTTTCTCCGGTATATCGTTCATCGGACGACACGATTTCACGTGAGAAGCAAAACGACTGGTTAGAAAGCAGGCTCCTGTCACATCCGGTCACAGTGTGAGTCGATTGATCAGGGGAATGGGGAAATTGGCGCTGTTCATTTTGCGCATGCCCCAGTAAACCCATTCAGCACAACCACAGTACCGTGGACCAGCCAATCATAGCCTGCAGTTTTCGAGGCGCTGTACGCAGTGCAGTTTTGAATGCAGGGGGATCATCAAATAATTTGAAGCTCCACGAAGGATGCAACCTGACCAGTTCGTGACACCACAAACGTAACTTTCCACTGAGATTTCGCTTCGTTAGTGATATCAATCTACGCTGAAAAACCGAGGAGCACTGTACAGCGGTCTCATTCCCATTCAGAATCATCAGCAAAATACAGGTCATGAATATCAGCAACTTTCGGACTGGAAATCGGTAACTCGGTAGATAACCTTTTTGTCGTGAGCGTCTTGATTAGCTCTCGGTTAGACATGATATAGCGTCGTTTACCTCTCAATCACAGGAATTACATTGCGTGACTTCTCAATGAATTGGTCCTCAAACATTCCACAGGCATTCCACATTCCACAGTCTTCACTGTCGTTAGACTGAACTCACTCGACCGCAACGTGATCGGGTGCATTTAGATTCCAGTAACTGCAAGTACCTCGTCAACACCTGAGTCAAACGGTGAAAAGTCCAAATAACTTACAAGGGAAGGATTATTCTTTGTGCCGTTCCGTTTCGAGTAGGCCCAAATGTAGAATCTTGCCTTAAATTTTGTAGTCATGAACTATGGTGATTTAGCAAAAGGTGTAATGCACGCTTATTTGTTTGTTCAACTTTCTGACCAGGGTCTTTTAAAAAGATAGTTCCGGGAAACACTGTACGAAGCGTTTTTTGTAACGTATCCGCCTTATCCGACTGCGTAAGAACTTCAAGAATTTTTGCGAACATGGCTTAGGGATGACGATGATTTCAAGACTTGCCACTGCAACATCGTTCCAGGGTGTACAACAGTATTTATTCTCATCGATGGTCGTAACTTCGTTGTGAGTCCTGAGAAAACAGCATCATGCGGCGACATAAAAATCAGCCTTTCATAAAAGGATTAGCTGACGGTTAATTAGGATGTCAAGTTAAGCCGATTTGTGCACTCTCAAGCAGGCTTCCTTCAACGTTTATCTAATCAAGGACCCTAATTCGTGAAGGTGTGTGAAATGCGGTCAGTTTGAACAGACTGACCAGAAATCAGATGAGTGTTCGTGATGAATCCATGTCCATTCACTGGAAAATGAATACTATGGCATACATTTGCATGTGACCTATCTAAAACATTGCGCTCTTAATCATTTCTCCATCAAGTCACACTTCCCAATTACAATGAATGTGTTTTGTGGTGTAATGCACCTTGTGAAGCGCCCTTCATTACGTTCTCCCCAGGGTAAGTCTGCGGATAGCCATAAAACAGGGCAATAAGGCTCTGGTGTACCACAAGGAAATTGAGCAACAACTCTAAATTTCAACTTCAACCAGTTTGCTGACTAGCAGCTCATCATCATCCAAAAGTTGGGTCTAATTAGGTGAAGGCAGACTGTGATATAAACGCTTACCTTAGGAAATTCCTGTCTTTTATGTCATATCCCTGGGTAGGCACATTTTCATGAACGTTGCTACCTTGCGAGATTCTCCAATGCGTTAATCCCGAGGTTGCGGGATAGCTCTGACGACCAGTACTGACTTCATTGTTGCAGTTTTTAAAGGGTTAACAGTGTGTACCTGAAAGTAGCTTTACTCTTCATTTACGACTAGAACTCACCTATAATCTACTGAAGCTGGAGACTTGAGGATGAATAGTCTTGATGGAAGAAACATGGTGACATCTGTGGTTATGTTGGGTTGTCTGCAGTCCTCGGTTCACTTAGATATTCTGGTACCACTAAATCATAATCAGTTTAACCCATTTTCTACTTCGTTTTCGTCGAAACGAACCAAACTTAGCTGTGAAATAAACTATGCTAGTGCTCAATTACTCGCTGATTCTGAGTGGCACACTGATGTGATTTTGCGATTTACTCTGTTGCCACTGATCGATAAGCTGAAAAACCATAGAAATTTTTGACAGTTTTATGCCACGCCTATGGTCTTGTAGTCAGCATACATGTTTTTAATGGGCTTTTTTGCAAAAGTAGTCCAACTAAATGGATGTCAGCAAACTTGGTTGTCAACGCCCAAGTGCAGAATGCGATAGGGGTGTCAAATATGAAGGGCCAGTCTTAGGGTAATATGTGGTAATCGAGATTATTGAAATTCATTTTGTTGTCTGCGCACATTTTTATCCCGAAGACCTAGACCATTGAAAACTTTGGTTGTAGTGCTTCTGTTGTCCCTGTCACATACAACTTGCTTCAGCTGCAAGCAAGATTATGAATAAAATGTGATTTTTAGGTGGCATGTAGAAAATTTTCCAGTGACGGGATGCGATGTTCTGCGTAGATATAGAGGCCTTAATTTAGGAGAAATCATCTTTGTGAACCTTTTGTAGAAAGGGTTCTGGAGAGCTCTCGACAACCCAGCGAGCATGAGTCTAAAACGAGCACATACCTGCAAGCTTCCGGTGCATTGCTTACCGAACAAGTGTTAAGAGCAAATTAAGGAAAATAAACCGGCCTGTGCCACAGTCATTTAATATCAGAAATGTGGATCACTTTGTCCATGACTTTTCTGACCAAATGACGGACTGTGAAGATTTCTTTAAAGCAACATTAGGTAGGCCCCAATCCCGATTGTTGTTTCTCAACCAGTGTCATACGGCCTATCGTAAGGCGACAGAGTACACACGATATTAAAACTCCCCCGAAAGTAGAGTGAGCAGAAGCCCCACTTTATTCACACATTCACCGCGATATCACATTTGGCGACTAGGTACCAATATTGTTTCACCCTTGTTTCTGAGACGACTTGCTCTCAAAAAATTAGACAAACGCTGGTTCTGAGTTTACCCCATCGTGGAACGAGGAGTGTAGAATGTCAACTGGACCAGAAGTATAGTGGAGCCTGAGAGACGGCACACGTTCGAAAATTGGGACACCCAATGGAGATTTGGGTTCACCTTTCATTGTGTTAAGTAGGGAAATGGTGGGTACGATGTAGTCAGATGACTTCCGTTACTCCGAAGGCGGATGTTGCGTAAAAGCGTTTTTCATGAACATATAGCCGAGGCAGTTATTTGTCCTCATTCATAAACAGCGTGGCCAGTCTTAGGCGACTACCAAGGCGAGTCCCTGATCGACTAGCTCTGCCTAATTATGAACGGAATTCCCATTGATCTTAACGGCATCTTGGGTTTAAACTGGAGCACTCGAGCATTCAAAGCGTCATGATGGCTATTATTGGTATTATCAAGACTAAAAAATTCTAGATGGAAACACACACGCTAGAAACCAGCGATTTATTTTTACTTCCAGGAAGATTTTACAGATTCAGCCGAATTAAATTTACAGGAGAGACCGTCAATGAGTGTACATTCGCTTGCATCTGAGTGAATCTCGTAATAAGAGTGAACTATGGAGATCATATCCGGGGACAAACTTCTACCCTGCATTTATTGGTTCATCTCAGAAAACCGCTGATTTTCATTTGCTCTCTTTGAGTGTTCCTTTCAAATGAAGAATATCCTTAAAAGAAAGGTCTCTGTACTCAGCTTCTTAAACAGATGATCTGCCCACTCTCATTACATACCTAAAGAAATAAAGCTGTTGCCACCTCTGGTGTGGCAGCTTAAATCAAATCTCCTGGATGTTGAAGAGACTACGGTCACGGAGAAATTTAACTTTACCAAAGATATGTGGTTTCAAGGGTTACTGTATATTCTCCTTTCCATTGCCATCCTGCGAGGTATCTGAGATACGAACGCTGTAAACTTAGAAATTTGGGAACTTTTTTAATGACCACTGAACGATGTGATTTGTGGAAGATGACTCTTATTGGAACGATATGGGCCATGATTTGGCTCTATATGTTAGTTATCGGTACTACATTACGTTTAACATCACTAGCCGCCAACCTGGTGCGCTACTTGCTTAGCGAATATCTCACTGTCTGGGCCTATACCTATTCACTCTGGTTTATAATTTGATAATGGTTTCACAGTCAACTATGAAGCGACCGGTTTTATTGTAGCCTCTCTTGTATGAACTCCCTTAATCAGTATCCTGCTGATGTAACTATTCCGAAATGATCCTGTATATCATCCGGAAACTACTGGTCTAGATAATCATAATCCTTCACCGGATATCCATAATAAGTACATGGCCAAGGCATCCCCAAAATCTTATGGATGGTCCAATAGGAAATCGTGCTAGTTGTGTAGGAAACCAAGCAGAGGTATATTTGCAACATCTTGGTGTCCATTACGACTGCAGTATTGGGTTGTCAGGCATTCTGAGTCATTGCTAAATGTTTACAGTAAGCGAAGCTCGCGCCAAGCAGGTTTGAACAGCTTCGACAATAGCGGTTGTTAAGGGAAAAACAGTCCCTCACAAAAAACCACAAATGTAAACTGGTAAGAAGTACACTGTCATCATTTTAGAATATCTCCCAATTATGATACTTGATTTCCTTCATTTTTCACCGAAACGCAAATAAGGAAGATCCAATGGAACAAATTAATACATGAAGAATATTCTTGAGTTGCCCAAAACGTTTTACCTTTATCCATACCAAATTATTTTAGGCCCCAGGAAGTTGACTGCAGTTATTTGCTCCACAAATAAATGCTTACTATTTATTATTTATTATTTACTTATTTATTTATTTACCATTTTTGCTATCACTATTATTTACTTATTTGTTTATTATTTATTTACAATTATTGCAAAGCCCAGAATGAATCGATGAGGTGCACTTTATTTACTCTGTTTGTTGCTGGACGGGTCAACGTAATATCCGCCCGATTGTCCATTCCATTCAAGGTGCGATTTGTTTTGTACCAGACAGAAATTTGCCAGCAATATTTCTACTGAAATTCACTCAAATGTGTTTTCGATGATAATGTATTGGTGCGTGCGGCACATAAACTAAAAAAGGTCACACTCGTTATGTAAGTTACTACAACTTGGTGTATGAATCCACTGTCGCCCGATACAATACTCGAGCTTCATCATTTTTGGAGTATAACTGCTTTTGCATAGTGATATTCCTTGTAGGCGGGGTAAATTTTGTGAACAGGTGCTTGACTCTCAACTTGAAATTCCCCTGTTTCATAAGCTCACGTTTGGGAATAAAACGGATAAAACGTCATGACTTCGGTATCAGCGTATCTTTCGTTTCGTTTGCATGTGCAAACACAATAATCCCATCCCATCCAAACGCGGAATAAAAACGTTGATTTGCTGATTCCGGGTCCTGACCAAGGTTTTTGAACGAAACCTATCCGTAAGTTGTATAATATTTGGTGGGGCATAGTTTATCGAACAAACGAACTGTTCCGCCCAGCTTGTAAACCAAGCTGCTGATGTGAACAGAACTCACGAAGGTTCATGATTATTTCGTCTCAGAATATCCTGACCATATAGGGAAGCCAGTGCCTAAAAAATAAACTTTACTGACCAAGCCCAAAACTATAGTCTTCAGCAGCCTAAAGATGTGGTGTGACTTTTATGCGGTTTCAATGAATTTCGACAACATTTCCTTTCGCAGAAACACTTGCAAACTCCCAAATGTATCGCATTCGTTTGCAAACCACTAGCTTTCAGCATTGTATTCCACCTGCAAAGTAATGAAGCATGCAAGTTTGGAACCACGTATGAATTGATTTACTTGTGTTCACAGTGCTTAAGTGATAGCCATTCAGGGAAGCTCACTGCGAAAGATACTAAACCGTCGCAAGTTATAAGGAGATTAAAAACATCCACTTCGTTGGACGTATTAATTTGTTCCCCGCTGCGTTCTACTCTTCGATCTGTGGAAAATTTTTACTTATGTTTGACTAGTAGTTAGCCAGATAAGAAAGAAAAGAAATGAATGACTGGCAAAAGTATCGCTTAGAAGAAGAACTCACTCGTGTTGGATGTCCGATATACAACCGGTATAGTAACATTATCGGATGCAGGAGCATGAATTATTTGGAACCTAACAAAAAGCAACCATCACGCACCTTGCAAGGGATACGTGCTATCTGAGAAGAGTGATAAATACGTTACTTCCCCCACTGCAGTCTTCCTTAGATAAACGTTAGGTAAAAAATTTCTAAAAAAAAAACAAAATAAGAGAACTTAGCTATGAAAACAACACAAATTATTAGTGCTTGAAATGGCCGGCCGTCAAGTTCAAAATAGCCTCAGGTTGCCTGGATTAAGATGTACTCATTAATAGCCAAATAGGACAGTGCGGAAACCCTCACTATTTTTTCTGTTCAAGATGTTGCGATCGCCTCTCAAAACGGTTACTAAACAGGGAAAAACAGAAGGTTCGGATCAGCAAACACACAACAGCCACACTCTCGAGCAACGGGCGGCTAAACAAACCGGAGCGTGACTCAGCCATCGCACTGTATGCATCAGCTGAAAAACATCGAGTCGACCTTGTTAAATTGCTACAAAATCGCGAATTGCGTGTACAGAAGTGCCCTGTTGAATCAGTGCCTGCTCTCAAGTGGGGTTCTCGCAGTAACAAGGCTGGTATGCTCGAATTGTCCGCCAAATAATCTAGCTTAATTCACCGTCATGACACAAGTAAGAACAGTAACAGCGCAAAAAACACTATATTAACTCGTTTAACAGCAACAGCGCAAAAAACACTATATTAACTCGTCTTTGCTCAGCAGGTTGATAGAATTTGATTGTCAGTCATTTGCTCTCCAATGAGAAAAACTTTTGGCCGTCGAACCGTCTGACATTTCCGTTTTATATCTCCTTTGTAGTCTATTTCCGTTTTAATGTTATCACAAAGTTACCTGAAGCGCAACGCATAGGGGTAGCCTATATTTCATCCGGCCATATCCCACAAATTTTCTACATTTTCCAACTTCCAATCTTCGAAATTCGTACGTTGGTCTTGGTTGCATAATTTGTGGCATTCACTTTCACGACGCTCTCGCTTGAAGATTCGTTCTTCTGTGTTGGCGCAATCATTCTGGTAAGTCCACATCAAAGGAGAGAAGAACTGAGCTCGAATTTTTCACTTATTAGAGCTTAACAGCAGTACACATGCTTGACCGTGCCGGAGGTAAGACTCCGGACATGTGATATGTGAGGCAAGAGTGCTACCAGTACTCCACCGTCGAACGCTGAATTCATCGGATTTTTTTCATATGAACAGATAAATGTCTCTTGAGCAATGTCATTGGTTTGCCCCATGGATCGAACGATGATCTGTTAACTGTCGCCATTTCGTCGATCGGCTAACCCACCTGTCAGGACTTCCGTGTAAGGTGGAGCCAGGGATGCTTCAGAATCCAACTCCCAAACGGTGGTAGATACCGACACACTTGAAATCCTATGGTACATTGTTCGATGGCCACCCGTTACATGGTAAAGTATGCTGTCGCGAAGATCTTATGAGTTTCCTTGGCAATCCACATTTGAGAGTGACAAGATGTATAATTTCAGCGAAATGGAGCTAAACAACAATATTTTTGCACTCCACCTACTCATTTCTGGCTTCAACCCGGTTGAGTTACCCGTTATTTGAAGTGACTGATCGGACCGATCGGACTGATCGGATGCAGATATACAAAGTCCCGCTACAAATCACGTTCCGGCGGGGAAGGGGCAGCATTAGGACTTAAATGTCATGGAAGCTCTATTGAGAGAATCAAAATAATCTGAGTCGAGTGCCACGGAACAAAGTGAACTCTCTTCAAACAGATAGGTTGTGTTTGGTATTGATCTAACAAGGTAACAAGTAAAACGTATACAGTAACTGAACATTGCTTTTTTATTTATGATGCATACGTTCCCATACTGATTTGATGTGTTCGGGATTATAACAGTGCAAAGGAAGTTTGACGCCGAAGTGCGAAAATGAAAGACAGCCCAGTTTTTTCACTCCATTTTACTTCTACATAAAACGCAAATAATTTAAGTCAACATTACATGTCTACAATATATAAAAATGGTTCCAGTTCGGCCTTAGTCACAAAGCTTAATTTTGTTTCTCCTCTGATTGCAAAACTGGGTTATGGAAGTTGTTTTCGGTTTGGTTTAGCTTGATGCTTCTTAATTTACATTGTCCACTCCGTAAAGATCTATGTACAAAACTCGATTACAGCTCAACAGAACATAAAACTGGCACAGCTTTAATCATTCTATAAACATACCTTCTTTATTGTACCGACAGCAACTATACTGTAACGATAGCCTGTCCAGGGAATTCATGAAATGTTCTGCCGATACATATTAGGAATTGCAATACATTTTCTTGATGCTGGATGCTAGTCTGCTTTTGGAAGAACCAACTGTCAAGGCCAAATAAAGCCTGCAAATATTACTCATTTTTAGTGTCTGAGAGATGAGTTGTGGAGGTCACTCATCAAATCACGCGTCGCAAACACGCGAACCACATGACGATTCTTGTCCCACCTACAACCTTAGCCGACAACTTGTACACTACAACTGCTCATCCATTTTTGTTTACGCGACTACCACTTGCGTAACGCGCCAGGCTTATGAACGTCAACACATCAGGTCAAGTTGTATTCATGTTCCTGCAAGGATTAAACGTGAAGGGACACCCCCTCTTCACTCTGCACACAATAAATAGGCATACAACTAGTTGTATTCACCTGCAAGGATTAAACGTGAAGGGACACCCCCTCTTCACTCCGCACACAATAAATAGGCATACAACTAGGTTCAACACACACACACGCGCACACAGGACAGGAAGTCAACAGAGCTCTGCAAGTCTCCACGGTCAACTACGGAACACGTGTAGCAGCCATACTGCAGAGAAGACACGTCCCGCATCCGGAACTTCACTCAGGAACTCTCAACAAGTGTCCACTTTTCGCATTGTATCCATTTTTTTGTCAAGCGCACCTAACTATCGTATTCATCACATTCTGGTAAGACAAACATTTGTTAGTACTTGTTACCTTCTGATAATCAACTTAATTACTTCATAACTAGAGCAGTACACAGTCTGTGACATCGTGTAAAGAAACCGATTCCCTGAAGAAAAATTATGGCATAATAGTCAAGTGTCACAACCCAGGTCAAAGGATAAATGCCCGTCGCTGGGAAGTTCTGCTAGCGAACACGAAATAGTCGGTTACAAACCATCAGACACGAAAGTCAATCTCATCTGCACAGAGGTTTTTTTAAAATGAATATTATCAAGTGTCCTCCTGAACTTTCATGGACGTTCTTTGCACATCAAATAGTAGTAAAAAAACATTGCCAAACGGTTCCATAATTTCCGTGGTAACATTCACCTTCCATCAGATGCGACAGTGGAGCTTGGACACCAGACCCGACACTACTCGAATGCTCCATCAGTAGTGTATGTAGTTACATCGTTACTCCCACGGAATCCGATAAAAAGCGGTTTTGGCTTTCAGGATATATTCATGCATCCAGATCCATCTTTGTATGGGGAATGACAATGGGTTGAAACATTTTGAATTTTGCACACTGGTATTTCTGCACATTTATATTCTCAGATGGCCTCAAAGAATGTAGGTACCTGATAATCCACATAAAAGGATCAGGATTAGCATTTACTCTAGCATTGTCAGCAGTATTTTGACCCGACAGATTTTCACAGAATGCTACAATGCAATCTGAACAAAAACCACGACAACATTCTGGGGGTGCATCCAAGTTGAGTTTTGTTCGTCTTTCCTGATTTTTGAGCAAAATTGTTGGAGCAAATATATTCGAAATGTTTTGGT